TGATGGGGGGGAGGGCTTTCTGGCCCCTTCTTTTTTTTTGATATCTAATATTTTTACATGCTGCTAGTGAGAGAACCTGTTGTTAAAATATTTGAATCCCACCACTGTGAGTGGGTATAAATGTTTATTCAGATATATACAAACTAAGGGTTAAATAACATCCCGCATCTAAAACTAACATTAACTTTATGTGGCCAGATATGGGAAAGTAGGTGCTCCTAATGAAGCAGAAAAGCAGGGAAAGAGAGAACAAAATATCAAATTAACAAGCTTACTACAATTAAAGAACTGGTGATTGTAAGTAAGTTATTCTGTATTTGGTATTCCAGACCTTATAATAACCACTTATCACATACTTATGGGGAAAATGCAATCAAACCTAAAATGTTCACTAGAAGAAAAATTAACAGCAGGATTTATGCTCAAAGTCCAAAAAAAGTCACAATTTTCCCTGCCTTCTTCTTACATTTATAATATGAGCTCTAAGTTTTTGAATTGTTTTAGATAATCGGGCGTGCTATCTAACATGCATGTGCTAATTACCAAAGTTAACCTTAATTAACACATGGTAACTGCCAACACTGACATGGTGTTAAATTTAACTTTTCAAATCAGAGTTCCCCGGTGAGACAGCAGTAAGTCTTTGGATTTACAACACTAAAATCAGGGGTTCAGTTCCCCTCGGTGGACACAGCAGTTAGCCTGATGTGGCTTTGCTATAAAAAAACACACACACACATACACTTCTAATCAGCACATGCATTTTAGGTAGCAAGAATGTTTACTTAAGACTGATCATGCAATGGAATACTCATTTTAACAGTGTATTGATCAGGAGGTATGATGGGTATGTTATATTTGGAGGTTTAACTACTTTTTTTATTACTTTAATAGTAGTAATTATTAATCTAGACATTTTTGGGGTTTTTCTTTTATGCTGTTCATACAGTACAAGTATTTGATTATTATGATGGCTGGGTTGCCATTTTCAAGAGGTAAGTTTGCATATAATCTCCAGTGATTAAGTTGTAGAGATTTGGTTTACATTTTACTTTCTTCACTTGCTTTCCATTTCATCAAGAGCAACTATTTCCCATAAATTGTTGAAAATGGTGAATGGTAATTTAAGATATTGGAACATAAGCCTAGGTACCCATTGGTTTCTAATATTTAAGGGAAAATATTTTTTAGTTTTATTTTACTTCCATTTTTATTCTGATAGATGGTGTATACTGATCCCCATGCACTGCTGTGTGGATCCATACACAACTCTCTTAATAGAGTACATTGTTGTTTGTAGTGTAATTTCCATTGACTGAATTTTATGTGCAATCCTTTTCATTTTATGCATTATTAAGGTTTTAATTCTATATATCTATATTTTCTAAATGATCATAAGACATTGAAAATGATATAAAGAATATATAACAATAGCATCTAAGTAAATATGCATGTTTAGCATATTGTTGCGTCAGCGAGGTCACGTGACTAGTGTCATGCCACGTTTCTAGAAATATCCCGTTCCTTCGTGAATGCCCTAGCATTTACTAGATATAGGGTAGTCTGGTATATATATAAGAGGGTGACGGCGTGACGAAACAATATGTGTGTAGGTAGTGAGTAATTGATCTGCAGTGAGAAAGTATTGTTGGAGTTAACGTTCGTTATAGCGTTTGTTTTAGCGGGAATGTTGAAATCAAGTGAATCGTGAAGTTATATTCAGAAAGAATAAACCAGTTTTATTAAGTAAGGACTTGTGTCGCTAAAGTTTCGTCAGAACGAAGTTACGGAAAGTTAATTAACAAACGGAGACGTAACAAATTGGTTTCAGAAGTGGGATAAAAAAATGGAAACGAGAAGTGGCAAATCAAACTACAGCATAGCAGACTTGATGGCAGCAATACAAGAACAGCAAAAGAAACAAGAAGAACGAGAAGAGAAATTACAGCAGTTCTTAGAGGAAAAAGAAAAGAAACAAGAAGAGAGACAACAGCAGTTGCAAGAAAACCTGCAACAGTGGCAGCTTGAACAACAAAATAAACAAGAAAGATTACAGCAGTTGTTGGAGGAAAAAGAAAAGAAACAAGAAGAACGAGAAATTAAACAAGAAGAGAGATTACAGCAGTTGTTGGAGGAAAAAGAAAAAAACAAGAAGTAAGACAACAGCAGTTGCAAGAAAACCTGCAGCAGTGGCAGCTCGAACAACAAAATAAACAAGAAGAGAGATTACAGCAGTTGTTAGAGGAGAAAGAAAATAAACAAGAAGAGAGACTACAGCAGTTGCAAGAAAACCTGCAACAGTGGCAGCTGGAACCACAAAATAAACAAGAAAGATTACAGCAGTTGTTGGAGGAAAAAGAAAAGAAACAAGAAGAGAGACAACAGCAGTTGCAAGAAAACCTGCAACAGTGGCAGCTCGAACAGC